ACGAGAGCCGAGAATTTGGATAGACTGCTGAGGATCACCGCGTCTCTTAGCCAAAAACAGCGCTCTTCGCTGCGCTCTCTTCCTTGCAGCATCCATCATGTCGTGCACTTTCTTCTCCGACCTACGCGCTTCGTGCCACATCTTTCCCTTCTCTATTACTCTCAATCGAAATTTGCAGGTGAAATCGAATTTGGGGAAAACCAAACCCTAACCCTAGAAATCGTCTTTCGATCAATTTTTGGGGAAAACGATGAATGCTGGACCTCCCCTTCTATGTGGTTTTGGATTTCTATTGTTTTTGGAGCATACGGTTTTTTGATGAGTCGAGAAGTTTTGATATACTACTCGGGTTAATATTTCAATTAAAACTCGTTTACACACGGTTTAAACTACTCCATCCGTACTTTTTTACTTGACCTCTTTTTTAAGTAGAAATTATAAAAGTTATATATTATGATAATCTTATTGAGACGAATTTAAAAAGACCCACATTAATATGTTTTTCCTTACATATTATTCTTAAAAGACGGTCAAAGGAGGGGTGGTGAACAGTGTAAAAGTCAAAGGGGCAAGTAAAAAAAACGAAGGAAATATTAAGTATGGTTTTTCAAAGAAAAAAAAATCGAGTACGGAGTAATAGGGTATGTCAAAGTTTTATATGCGGCTCGTCATATGGTGTGGTCCGCCATCATGGATTTACTTCATTAGTGTTATATGGATTACTCGGTCACTATTGTAAGTATTATGAGGGCTACTTTGTTTTTTTTACAAGCAACCACATAGAATAGTCTGGCGCGCACAAAATGCGTTGTTAAGGAATTTACTACAAAAAATAAATTGATCAATTTTTTAAAAATGCATTGCTTCTTTCACATGCAATTAAAAAAAAAATTAAAAAAAGCAGGGAGTATACATTGAGCTATTTGTATTAATTAACATAATAAATCAAACAAATTATATAAATCTCAATAATCTCAAGCTAAAAAGCTAAAGTGATTTTAATGACAGGCTAATTGTCAAAATAGTTTGTAAGTATGACACGTAAATTTTCAGCCTACTTCACTTAATACATTTGCACCCAATTATTAGCTAACTTGTTAATTAAATAAGTCGCACTTAATTAACTTTTTATCAAGCAAATTAACTTAATTAATTGAATAATTTCCTTAACCAAATTAATTTCCTCTTTCAACTTCAATGGTCAGACTCAGTTTTGATATGTCCTGCAATAATAAAAGGAAATCCATCATTTATCAAAGGCACAATAATATAAGGAGGAAAAGTTCCAAACCAAATACTCTACCTTACCTTATAAATTAAAAGTTATTAGAAACAAGATTTAATTAGAATAAATTGGTTTGGATTGATTTAAATTTTATATTTTGAATCAATAAAAACCGGTGTGGATAAGTAAAATGCAGGTTTAATTAGTAAAAAATAATAAGTATTGTACAAGTATAACAACCATTTATGGTGAATTAATATAGCCATATTGCATATAGACATATAGTAAAAACTATTTTTAATTGGTAAAATTAAGCTTCATTGGAAAAAACTATATCAATTTGTTATAAATCAGGCTAGGTGAAGAGAATTGGGCTATAACTTTCCAGAGTTTGTAATGAACCAATGTCATAGCTAGTGACTTAGTGAGCTACCAAAGTTTATTATACCCTGTAAGATGGATTGAGCTTTGTCAACAACTAAATTTATGACTCCTTTACAAAATATAGACTGGTATTTTAATCAGGTTTAGGTGTCACATTTTCGACTTACAATAGCTACGTTACTACTTCAACCAAGCAAAACAAATAAACAAATGACAGTCTAGAAATTAAGATGGGATTGGCTTTGTCAATTTGATGAACAACTCATTTTTAAAAAAAAAATTAAAAAATAATGTGAACCGCGCTCTTTGAAGGTATCACCTTTTCAACTTACAATGACTTTTTTTCCTTATCTGATTATATTCTAGGCTACTAACTGCTTCCAATTGTCTTCAAACAGTGTATCATTTAATCTAACTAATGTTATCTAATGGTGTCAAGCACATTACATACTTTTTAGTTGAGTTGATTGGACCGAGTTGTATCAGTATTAATTGCGCTGTGCAATAGATAAAAAGATTAAATAATACCACAACTAAAACAAAAAATCATGGACTGTACGAAATACATCACTATTTAAATGGAATGTTATTTGTCAACTTGATTTATGAATCAATTTACAAAGCACATAGCACGCGTAAATCATTTTGAGGTATAATCTTTTGAACCTGAAATTTTCTTTTCCATATTTGATTATCTTTAATAAGTTGTTAACTGTTTCCAACTGCCTTCTAAATGTATAAAATCCCATTAAATGTGCAAGTACATGTGTTTTATAAACGACTTGATATTATCATTTAAGAGTCTTAAAAGTAATTAAAAGTTAAAATTATTAATATAGCCAATGAAGCACGTGTATATAACAAGGTTAGTTGTCTTTAATTTCAAAGCCAAAGCATTCCAGTTCGTTAAGGTAGCTAAAAACCCTAGCTAACGAACGAATATGATGCAGTACTTTTTTAACACTTTAGTTTATCGTTTTCGAAAACGACAAAACATAAAACACAAACATATTGGTATATATATTTTTGTCGTTATTTTAATTCATCATCGACATCCAATATGACAATTTTTTATAGGCGTGTCGCGTACCTAGCAAAAATAACCTAACAAGACCACTACTATGTAGATAGGCAAGTAAGGATCGAATCCCAAGAGACTATGGTTTAACTAATTAAACAGACTCAAATTAATACTAAGCAAGTATCAAACAATGGTGGAATAAACTAAAAGCTAATGTATGGAAAACTTAAAATAAATCAAACGAATATAATAAATCAATAAACTAAAACATCCAAGATCAAGCATCACCACGAATACAATTAATGCAATAGTCGTTCTACCCCTAACATATAATTCAATTGATTAACGAGGAAAAGCAATCCCTAAATGGTACCAATGGTCTCTCCCGAGTTATCAATGGCTTCCCTAATCACAATCAAGCCTACTTCCGTGGAATCATGTAAATTAAAGACCTTGAGCACATTACTCTAACTTCCTAATAATCCATTCAACTACTCCCGTGATGAACTTCAAATCCTTAATTGATTTATTCAAACCCGTTAAAACCCAACTCCCGTTGCAATTAAAACAATGGATTAATAACAATACTAATTATCCCTAATCTAGTATTGGCATGAGCACAATCAATTAAGCATATCAATTGCAATTATCATTAGAGAATTTAAAGAATTAAATCATGCATTAACCATATTCGGGTTCTGCTAGGTCTTGGAATAGAGAAACTACTCACACATAGTCATGAAATCAAGAATGATATTCAATAAAGATAACATAATTAACAATAATAAAATAAGAGAATTGAGAGAAGAAATCAATACTTGGAATTAATTATGAAATCTTGAATCTTGAAAGCAAAACCCTAGGAAAATAATAATAGAAGAACGTAATACCAAAAACTCTAAATTAATGTATGTAAAGTGATCGATAAAAAAAAACTATCTAAAACCTATTTATAAGCTAGGAAAATAGTAATAGACTCCTCTTAGGATTTGGTTTATTAAAACCCCAAAAATAGGCCCAATTTTGTCACTAGATCAGGGGGCCGCAGCTAGGCTACGGTGTGGGATCGCGAGCCGCAGGTAGGTTGCGGAGTGGTCTGTTTCGTGTTGCATCCTTAAGCGTTTGTGAAGTACACCGCAAGTGAGCTACGGTATGGATCTGTAAACCGCGAGCAAGCTGCGGAGTGAATTTTCCTCTATTGCTTGTTGCTCTTTTGTGAAGTAAGTCCCAAGTGAGCTGCGGTAAAATCTCTAAATTACCTCGTCAATCCTGAAATACATCAAAAACAACGAAGCTACCCAGGAAAGCATGAAATCATCAAGACTAAACCAAATCAAACACGAATAAACCAAAAGCTCCTAAACTAGACTAAAAAAGAGGACCAAAAAGACTCCAAAAATATGCACAAAACACGACTTATCAATTTTCAAACAAAATATTTTTTGCTGATCGATTCTAATCCATACTGTCAGCTCAGACACCGTGTATAAGCTTAACTTGAATTGGAAACTGTGGCTATGTATTTAAAATGTCCTTCAATATATAGCTTGAGACAATCTCCATGCACATGCATTAATATTACAAACTATAAAATTAAGATAACCAGATGTCATAATCTTAACCCCTAATTTAAGACTTCTTACAAATTCATCATCATTGTTAGTACTTAATATCATACCATACTATACTACACAAACCAATTGAGATGACCACACCATCAATTATGCCGGCCATGGAGCAAAAGTTTTTACACCATAAAAAGTCTTTCCTTTGAAAACAAACCAATAGCAAGTTGACACTAATGATAATGACTATTAATTATACACCATTACCTTAAACCTAAACCTCTTTAGGCGATGACCCCATCCTAAAGCCTACATTATATTATTACAACAAATTTCCCAACACTATCTTTCAAAATTAACTCATTCATACTTTTCTCCCTTATAATCCATAATTCATAAATCTTGTAATTATATACAATTTTTTAAAAGAAAGTGTTTTACCATCCTAAAACCACCTTAAATAGGCTATGCCAAAGGGAAAGAGAATATTGGAATAAGATCATATCACATACTTGCAATGACCCATACAAGGGTTTGTTTGTTCACCTTATTTAAAGTAAATTTGGGTAACATAAGTTCTAATCAAGGGTTAATCAAAGGTTCTCGTCAAATAAGGGTTAATAAAGGTTACTCAAATTTGAATCACAACTAAAAGTTTTGATAAAGTCTAACAAGTTCAGTTCAGTTCAGCTCAGCTCAATTCAGTTCAGTTTAATTCAAATAATGAAAACAAAATAATGAATAGAATGCATCTTAATGACCAAGTCTTATGCTAATAAGGCGTTACAATACTACATACATTAAACTTGAACAAAACGGGGAAGACAGGTCATTATGACGAAATGAAGCAACTATACCATATAAAACACCCCCTTTCCTCCTCCTATATAAAGAGTGATGCTTAACCCTCATTTTCTCTCTCCTCGTTTTACTTCCTTCCTCCGCTCTCCTCTCAAAAAACACCTGCAACCTCACCCTCACCCTCCCCCTCATGGGGACCCACACCGCCTTGACCCAACCCATGCGCAACCCACCAAGGCAGCAACCCACCCCGCTCGTGAAGCAGAATTCATGGTCACCAGACTCAGCCCGTGAAGAATTATGGCTGCGTCGCAAAGAACAGATTGGACGACGTCGTTCCAAGAGTCTTACTGATGAGGATTTGGACGAGCTTAAAGCCTGTTTTGAACTCGGGTTTAGGTTTGACCCGAATGAGGCTCAACCCGATCAGAGGCTATCCAGTACTCTCCCTGCTTTGGAGTTTTACTTTGCTGTTAACAAGAACTATAACGACACTGTTTTTAAGTCCAACAAGTCTTCGTCTTCGTCGTTGTCGTCGCAAATTGGTACTGCTTCGTCGTCGGAAAGTGATCTTTCTCTCTCCTCTCTTATCGGCAGCCCTCTCATTATTTGCCCTGGTAATTACTTTCTTTCATCATTTATTAATTTAATTAAATTTAATTCCATAATTTATCGTCAGTTCTAATTTCCGTCGCTTTTATCATGTGTTAGAATTTTTCTCGTGTTGCTGTGTTCGAGTTTTTCATGTGTGCCTTTCAATTAATTTTTTGGTTTAAAAGAAAAAATTAAAATTAAAATTAAAATTAATGAAGCGAGATCTCCGGCGCATATTCATGATTACTGTCTTAGTTGTGTCACGAATTATGCCCCTTCCTTTAATACAACAATCATAGCGTATTAGCGTATAATGTGTGGTTTTTATTTCCGTTGCTTGTTAATTTGAGTTATTGTATGAAACAAGTTAATTCGAATATTCGGATTTTAAACCATAAAGTACTCAATATATTAATTGTGTTAAAAGTTGAAAGTTTGGTGCAATTTAAAGGAAGTCGTTTGAATTTCAAATGTAATTGATTGTCCGAATTGAATCCTCTTGATGATAGAATATCATTTGCTACAGCTATTTGGAAGTTCAGTGAAGTAACATTTACATAAAATGGAACTTTATGGAATACAATTTAGACTTTTAATAATGGTGATAATTCGTATGTAGTGTGACTCATATTCATCATAACTCAACATGTACATTGATTTTTTTTTTTTTCCATCTAATGAATTTTAAGTTTTTAACAGTAACATTTACGGAGTATTAATGTGAATGAATTTTAAGTTTTGAAAAAGGGAATGCTAATGTGAATGAAGTAATCATACGAGTTGTATCTTTAATAAAAATATTAAATGTACGTAATTCTAAAAAAGGGACATTAATATAAATTACGCACAGTAATATATTTATGACAAAATCCTATGCATTTAATGTTATAGAATGTTTATTTTGTATTCTACAGACTACAAAGTGGAATACTTTTTATGGTTATACGTCCTAGACTCCTAGGTCTTCCTATACTTTTTTTTTTAATGAAGTTTTAAGAGAAAGGTTTAAACATGAAGATCGTACCAATTCATAAGACGTACTTGTTATAGTAGGAGCATTAGCAAAGCAAATTATTAAACATGCTCTTTATTTGACATTTTCCCTAAATGCATGCCAATTAGATTATCATTATTGTTTGCGCAATTAGACATCCAACCTATAATCACGACAATGTTGTACTCCATTTATGCATGCAATAACTTTCATCACTCACACGTTGCACACTTGCACCTCATATGTACCAAATGTTCAATGTGGACTATGCTACGTAAGTTAACAACATTATTTTTGCTAAGTAAATTACAATGTCGATAATGATGGATTATAATGATCGATAATGCAGGTGATGATCCGAAGACAATTAAGACAAGGCTGAGGCATTGGGCACAAGTGGTTGCTTGTTCAGTGAAGCACTCATGGTGATGAAGCTGCTTAAAGGGGGGTTAATTAGTGTGTGCATAACCAGGAACAACAATATAGCTTATATTTAGCAAAATTAACCCAAACAACCTTAGACAAAATGGAGATATATTGACCATTTTAATTTTATGTCAAACTTAACAGTGTTATTAATCTCAGTCTCATCTATTTTTCCCTTTATGGCAAAATGGAAAAACTATAGTTAGATGTTCTATATCTCTATTGATGTGAACCAAATTTTGGTCAATTTATAATATCGTAAGTTTTAGTGGGTCTTAATTTTAACGGGTTACATTATTATTCTTTCGTTGTGGTTTAAATTATATTTTTTTTTAAAAAAAAGGGGTTTTGATTTTAAAAAAACAACAAAAAAAACTTTGATGTGTGAGGTGGCAAATAGTGAAAATGGGTTCCATTTCAAATATACAGCTGGGTTTCTGACCTGTTAAAGTGATTGCTTTGCATGACTATGCAAGATATTCTGTCCAGTGGAGTAGTACGTATGTAGTAGTATGACATAGTCGTTCTCAAAACCATAAAGTCTAGCAAATAATCATTGGGTGTTTCCGTGTTTGGATTTAATAAATTATGGGGTCTTCATGGAATCTTTGAGTCCAAGTGTTGTAGGCGGCTAAAGGGCTAAAGGCGCGCTATACATTTGCCATATACATGTATTATACTAGTACTCCGAAGTCCATGTACGGAGTATTATACATAATACTGGTATAATCATAATGTTGAAGGTTAAAAAACAAAAAAGAGAGTAATATTATTAGACATTAAAAATAGAGTACCTAAACTAAAAAAAGGTATTAAGTGTCGTGAAAATTTTAACTGTGTCGTAGATGCTGAAAAATAACCTTTTCTAATGTGGTTCTCAAATTTCTGCCACTTATTCCTTCTCTTTCACTTCTCATTGATCAGTATACAATATACATGCATGTCGATGATGATTTTGGGCTAATTATTCATGGTACAATTAAAACCACATTATCTTTAGTTTATTACCAGTTGTACAGAGTTTTGTATTAGTAACAGTCATATTCATATTATACAACTTAGGATGAATCTAACAAAATATATCCCTCAAATATGGTCAAATGCCATTCAAAAATGGATATTAAAATCATACCATAAAAACTTTTAGACTTGAACACCATATATTTTGTTAAGTGAACATGCCCTTAGTTGTATATACATTCCCTTTTTTGGAAATTATATTTGTGGAAGGTAAAGTGATAATGAAGATCATTTATAGTTCTTAAATTTTTAATTGAATCGAATTCTTTACTCTTTCCCTTACTTGTTCTCATTTTTACCATATCTCTACCTACTACTGATGCAACCCGTGCATTGACTAGTTTGATTACAAGCTCTTACTGAAAGGTTTGAATTTTATGAATGTAAGTGAATAGAGCAACCTTTTTTTTTCTTCTTCTTTGGTTGGTAAAAGCTCAAAGTTGTGAAAACCCAACAATAGTAAGCAAATCAAACTAAAGTGTAAAAGATTAAACACAATTAGAATAAAACGTAACTAAGTAACTTCAAATTAGATTAGGGGTATAAAATCTTACTTGCACTTATGTTTACAAAGACTACAAAGAGGAAGATGCACCAAGTAGTATTTTGCTTACCTTTTATATTTGTTAATTTTTATGATATTTAGTTACAATTAATGCGAGCAAATAATATTAAATGAGCACAAGATATCTTCTAATTACACATTTCTCTATATGCACTCCGCACTTAGGTGAATATAAAACTTTTCAAATCCCCTCATGTCAAAGCGTCAATGTTAAAAATCCTAAAATGACAAGAAGACTACGTTTTCAATTTTTGGGTTGTCAAGCGTTGTTATATTCTCGTTGGGCTCAGATTACTTTTTGAACTGGACCGCATCGTCGTCTGACATTTGTTGGTTAGCTCACTCGCTATGGATTTAAAAGCCTCAACAACAAAAGATTTGCTACATGGGCCGTAGTATAAAAGATGTTTACTTTGATGTATCCAGTTAGCAATCTTATCATACTGTTCTCGTGACACGAAGATCACAAGATCAAATCTTGTTAAGGACTCTTTAATAACGGAGTCCTCAATACTCCTTATTAACACCGAAATTTTGTTAATTTTTAGGGTAGGACGATTTTCGCTCTTCATTACCGCTCTTCAAGTTTCAAAATTCTTAGATTTAATGGGGGCATACCAAATTTGTTTTCAAATCTACAGGAAAATTGCGAGGCCAAGTTGTATTCGATGTCAAATCTCCACAACATGTCTCGATGGGGCATTTGTTGACACCGTAATTTTGTTAATTTTTAAGTCACAGATATATTATTTTACAAATATTTAAGGATCTTGTTCAGTGCATGCTGATCACTTGGTGATCATGCGTGACTTTTGTTCTATTGCTTATGTTTTATACTCTATCAAAACGTAACAATCAAGTCAACTAGATATCAAAATCAGCTTTTTAAATTAGTGCTAAAAATTTCAATCTTGTTTGACAATAAACTTATGGACTTATAGTGCCATACTTCCAAGGATGCCCTTAATTTGATACAAGTTCACTATCACTCATTCACTCCAACACCTCATAAGTCTCCAGTATAATTATTGGACGGTGAAAAATGATAAAAGGGTACTGCTAATAATAAGTGTTTCAAATTAAATTTAAACTCGTGTAACATGTTCATTTTATGTTACCATTAATTAGGTGATCCATATGTCCATGCCTTGAGATAACACAAAACAGTACGTATGGTCATCATACTACAGCACCGGCATGCATGCGTAGAAGACTGGAAGGGATCAAATTCTTAACTTATAGTTCCATTTTCAACTTCTCACCAACTAAATTAAAGCAACGAATTTCAATTCTACACTTCCAATCTCTAAACGAAATCATAGGAGCATACTATATTTTATAGCACATTGATAGGTACCAAAAAAATATAACCATGGCCAATAGAGACATATGAAGAAAGCGAAAAAAAAATACGTATATTCATATACATGTATTGTGCAAATCAAATATACTTTGGTGGTCGTTTAATTAAATGTAGAAATACATTTTTAGGAAGTTTATACTCTACTATAGGTTAGATGTGATAAAAAAATTCAGGCCGGGTCGGTCTTTAACATCATATCCCGTGTCCAAATCCGCAAAAAAGTAACAGGCTTGTCGTGCCAAAGCAGGCTTTCTGCGCTTTTTTCAGGCCGAGTTTGGATTTTTAACTAAAAATACGTGTTTAGGCTTGCCCAAACCCGCCCTATTTTCGAGTCGGATTAGGACCGGGCCGATGCTGATCACCTCTACTTTAGGTTAAAGCAATTAAAATGTAATACTAGCCTTAAATCAAACTGAGGATAGATGTAAGAATTGAAACAAATTGTCTAGTTAATCGTGGGGGAGTGAAGTGAAGCACCTAATCAAACAATTCCTTTCATTCCCTCAAACACACACAAATATTATGGAAGTTCATTCCACTAACGACCCTGGTTTATATATTTATGTTTTTGTCAACTAAAGGACATTCTATTCTTCTAATTAGGTTTTTTTTTTCCATCATGTATGTCAATTAACCAAACACTATTTATATAAAGTACTTTTGTTGAGGTCACAAATTCTGAAAATTCTAGTGTAAGTAAAAAATGGACGGTTGAGATTGTTTGTTTATTTATTTATTTTTAATTAGTAATTTTAATTAAAAATTATTTTTTAATTATTTAATATATTTTTTTTATTTCCATTATTTCGAAAATATTAAAAAATAATTTTTAGAAGATAAAAATATATTTAAAATAATCAAAAAAATTATTTTTTATTAAAATTACTAATTAAAAATAAATCAAAAAACAAATAATATCAGCCGTCCATTTAAAAAAAATTGTGGTACTCAGAATCACAAGACTACATTAGAATAATTCACAATAGCTCAATTTAATATCCTTTACTCTCGTTAACAACTTAATAATAAGGTGATAATTAATAACCATAGTCCTCGTTAAGACATCTAAACAAAAAAAATTTTGGATGAAACTTTGAAAGATAATAAAGTTATCGACCAAATATAGGCAAAATAAGGTATAAAGCCATAAAGGTGAAATAATATGTGAGTTTCTTAAAAATGAAAAAGACTCTACATTCTTGTTATGCATTTTTTACTTAAAACAATTATTTCATATTTTAAGTCATTCTTCTACTCTATTAGTTATCTTATTTGACTATTAATTATCATTACACGGCTATAAATTGCTTATTCTTGTAGTTATTACTACGGAGTAGTATTTTTTTATCGGGTTGGGGTACAATTTATATTAAATCTTTAGCTCAAACATCCATAACCCACTTATCTCAAATGATTATACAACTTATCTGCTAAATTTTGTTATGAAGATTTAAAAAGAAGCAAAATGGCAAGGGCATGCAAGATTACAAGGTAATGATAACCTAATTAAAAAGCAAGAAAAGTAGAATAAAAATGGTGTCACAATCGAAGCCGAAAGAAGTAGTTATGTTAATCTTTTTGCATAAGAAACCATTCCATCTGCAATGGAATGGGTTAGGTGGAATGAGGAATTGCTTTTATTTCCAACAAGAATTTATTGCCTGCCGTCTAAATTGTACACGTGGCATAAATCCAGATTATTATCTATTTCTACACTCTTTCACAAATTTTATAAGAACCTTCTTTTTCTAATGAAAGTATGAAAACACAGCAATTTAATATGCCTACACTAATAAACTTATTACAGTAATACGGAGTATTTATTATACCCCCACATTTGACATTTCATGGATAAGCTAATGTTAAGCCCTATATTAGTGTATAGTTATCGGGCCTGTGTGTGAAGCCCTAATCAGAGTTGTATATATATACTTGTTTATACTCTAATAAAATACACGACACTATTTTCTCTACTCTCTCTCTCTAATCTTAACATGGTATCGGAGCCACTATATTCTAAACCCTAAAATCAATACTGATTTTTTTTTTCATCTGAATTTTTTTTTTCCATTCATCTTGTTTCTACCTAATTTGGTTGCTCTATTCTCTATATACTCGTCATATTTCTCTATTGCTCTACAATCTGCACTGCTCTATTCTCGTTTGCCATTGCTCTACAATCTCTCCTCTGTTCGATTGTTCAATTGCTG